AATAATTTAAAATGATGCAATTGTATTACTGAAAAATCCTTTAGCGGACTATGTTGGTTGCTACCAGTTTATTGAAGCAGTTAAGACAAAAGACGTTGGCTCCATTTCAGAGTGTTCTTCATTTTGTAAAGAAGAAACCACCAGATACATTTCTTTAAAAGTAAGAGATGTTATGTTATGTTCACAAAAGTTATTTTCTGTATCAACTTTCATAAATTTTTTCCTATTGGCAAGTAAACAAATTAAAAAAACAAAGCTCTATCTATTTTAAATCAAATTCGATCTCTGGCTTTCGGAGTTTGGACAAAATTTGTTCATTGAAAAGATAAACTGATTTAGAATCCAAACTTTAAATAAATTTTTTTTAAACTCGCAAATTTAACTTTAAATAAAATGAAAAATTTATTAATTTTTTCTGTTTAATTATTCATTATTTGTGTTCTAAAGAAATTTTATTCAAAATGTATAATTCATTTGGAGCTGGAGTCGGGTATTTTAAATTCGACACCGTGATAAGAACCGCTCTATTTCAAAATGAACGAGTCTCAATTGCAATGATTCTTTATGTTTTGGTGCAGTTTTTTTATGCCTTTCACGTTGTCGTTAAAATTCGTATTAGTTGTGTTGTTTTACTCATTGTTTAATTATATTTAAACATTTTTTCTAAATTATATGTATTACATTTCGAACTCACTAAATAAAATAATGTAAGGGTGGCAAAGAATGCAACTGTAACGACAGATTAGGATTAGCTGTTCCTTCCTCTTACTGTAACACTTCATGCTCCAACAATGATGCGTGCGGCGGAAAAATATACTACTCCATTTATGATGGTTTAGATTTTTTTATTGGCAAGAATATTTTTTCATATTTTTTAAATTTAAAATGTTACCTTTATTTTTTTTAGACCGGTATGCCGAAGCAATCAAAATGCCTCGGCCAATATACACTTTTGATGCCTATCAAAAGTGTATATTTTTGTGTATGGAACTAAACTATCCACTTTTTTGGGTAAAGTTGCTCTTGTAAAGTTGTTAAACAACTGGTTCAACAAAATTTTTTTTTTTCATTGTAGAGTAATCCGAAAGGTGAATGTCAGTGTGTAGGTGATATTAGATACAATATTTACCCGGAGGCGTTATCGATGCTAATAAGTAAAGTATCATTTAGAATTCTTAGAATTAAAAATTTTTCAATATCACAAATTTTTCACATTTTTTTCATCTTTAATATTTTAAAAATTAAATCATTTCTAATAAATATTTTGTAATTTTTCAATGCAGAATTTTTGTTCATATAAAGTTTAAGGTGTGCAATACGGAGTAGGGACCATAAAATGTGCTCTGGGAAAATATCTATTTGCATTCCCTAACTGAAATTTATATTTTCAAGTGCACTATTACTAAAGAACAATACTATCTGTCCTAACCAAAGAATGTCATTTGCCATGCGTGTGTATGTCGCGGGATTTAGATAATAAAATTTATGTGGCACAAGATTTAAATTCTAGAAGTTCCAGCATTTTTTATGACACTAATTAATCACCATTGAGGTCCCTTTTGATCCCTTTTAGTTTTACGTTGAAAAAACTCACCCAGAAATATTTACATTCATTTCTTATGACCAACATAACTGTACAAAAAAGATTAAACTGTTAAGTTTTCAAATTTAAGAAACAACTTGATTTTTTTACATAATTTACAAATATTGATGACAATTATCACGAGTTGTGACAACAGACATTCTTTTACATATTGCCCATGTTT